GTTTCCTGCTGACCCGGGTCTGATTGACCCGGGTTAGGGGATCCCCGACAACCTCGCCCAAGAAGAAGCCCACCATCAGCGCCGAGCACATTTGCTTCAGTTCCTGGCAGCGGAACGTGCACCTTTGCCGCATGATGCCCCCCAGTGCGGTGCTAATTACACAGATCAGAGCGGGACCTCGCGCCATCCTGGGGGGGCTGCGAACTGCGAAACTGTCGCCGCTTTCTAGGGTTGCTGAGTGGGGGCAGCTCAGCGCGGTGCTACGCAGATCAGAGTGGGACCTCGTAATTTCGGGTTTGCGATCTGAGAATTTGTCGCTACTTCCTTCTGAACGCTGCTGAGGGGGGGCCAGCTTAGTGCGGTGCTGTGCAGATCAGAGTGGCGCCTCGCCATCCCTGGGGGGCTGCGAACTGGGAATTTGTCGCCACTTTCGGGAGCTGCTGAGGGGGGGAGCTTAGCGCGGTGCCGTGCAGATCAGAGCGGGGCCTCGCCATCCCTGGGGGGCTGCGAACTGCGAAACTGCCGCCACTTTCGAGAGATGCGGGGAGGGCTAATTTGGTGCGGTGCGAAGCAGGTCGGAGCGGGACCTCGCCATCCCTGGGGGGCTGGGAACTGAAAATTTGTCGCCACTTGCGAGGGCTGCTGCGGGGGGCCCACCGAGCGCGGTGCCGTGCAGATCAGAGCGGGGCCTCGCCATCCCTGGGGGGCCTCGGTCCGCGTCCTTCTGTGGCTGTCCCATGCCATGAGTCGTGCAACGCGCGCATGTTATGCATCTTGCACAAAGAATGACGGGTCCTGCGTTACCGTCATCCGTGCGAATTTGGGCCGATTATTTTCCACACTTGATAAGCACTGGTTGTGTACGTCGCAGGGTAATGTTTGACAGGATGGTGGGCCTGCGCACAGCAGCCGATATAATGCCCCCCCCTTCGTTCCTGTCAGAGACAAATGTAAAGTGATCGTGGAGCGCCCGAACTTGATCCAGGTGTTGCCCTAAAGTGAATGTTGTATTCATTTACTGTTGAAAGGGATGGTTGGTGGTGTTGGCATTGTCCCTGGTTTGTCGCCGGTCGGTTGGTAGAGGGGGTTCTCATTCATAAGGAACAGAGCTAAACTCCTCCCCGAAGGAGATGAAGGGGGTGTGAAGAGGAAACGCTCAAAAGCACCGAAAGGGCTGGTGGGATTTTTGCGTTTGGCAGCCCAGTGGTCTTGAGGCCGCGCCAGCGGGCTTCAACGGTGTTGTAGAGGCCATGGCGACTGGTGGAACCAATTTGCGTTCGTGTCTTGCTGTCTTCAACGAAACCTGTCGACGTCAGGCGATCGCGAAGGTACGGTTGAACCTCTGCAGCCATTTCGACTCATTCGACGATCTCTTGCGCAGCCCAGCCTTGCCTCCTTGGCCAGCACAACCTGGCTTGGATTCGCTTGTCGACCGCGGTAACACGATGGCAATCCGCAAGGCAAGCACGCGAAGTTTGGCGCTGCTCCAGGCGGTGCTCCAGTACACCGTCGCCCTGCCGCTGCCCGAGACAGTCTTGTGCTCCGACCCGGGCGTCGATTTCGAATCGTGCGGCATCGATAACTCGGGGACCAGATCGATGGAGCAGATACCGCACATTTCGGTGCCAGTTCCGCACTGGTGGGAGGCGATGCCAGAGTACAAAAAGCAGTGCGACAATTGCACGGATATTTGGATACTGTGTCCATCGGAGGACACGGGCGGTTGGGACGGTGGCGACGTAATGCGTCTCGGCAGCATGATGATGCTCGAGAAGATCAACAAGCAGCAGTGGCTTCTCCCAGGTTATGAACTCCGGTGTGAATGGTATAATAACAACTGCGATGGGTATACCGGGCAGAGGGTGGTTTCCGCCAAGCTCGACGAGAATCCTGAAAAGTACGTTACAATCGGCACATCTGGCTGTTCAGGCGTCTGCGGTCACATTGCGCGCTACACGCAGCACTACAACATGCCCATGATGAGTTGGGCCGCAGGCATGCCCGACCTCTCAGACAGGACGGTGTTCCGCAACTTCTTCCGCACGCGCATTCCACACACCGCCTTCACATACGCATGGTTGCAGATGGCGAGGATTTGCGATTGGAGGAATATTGTGCTGATCATGGCGGAAGAGGACCGATTCCGTGGCCATAACGATCTGATGGTGGACACGATTGCTGCTGAGCCTAACATGTCAGTGATATCTGAAGGGCTCCGCCCTCTGCCGCCGGCCCCCCCCTCCGACTGCTTGCATGGCTGCGCTCCTTCGATCCGCTTGTTCGTTGGCCTGTCGGTTGGCTGGCTGGCTGGCTTTTCGGCCGATCGGCCTGCTGTTTGAGTCGATGGGGTTTTGACAGTTGGCTTTGGCTGGTTGCCGGCTGGCTGCTTGCGCGCCTCTGTAGCAGGGAAAAATCATCCCAGTGCGACCCTACCTGGAGTTGGAGCCTCTAGGAAAGCAACATTAGCAGCAGCAGTAGTGGATGCTGTGCTGCGCTATGCTATGCTATGCTGTGCTGTGCTGTGCTGTGCTGTGCTATGCTATGCTATGCTAATACTATGCTATGCTATGCTACGCAATGCTATGCTGGGCTAGGCTAGGCTATGCTATGATATGCTATGCTATGCTGTGCTATGCTATGCTATGCTGCGCTGTGCTATGCTAAACAATGCAATGCTATGCTATGCTATGCTATGCTATGCTGCGCTATGCTATGCTATGCTATGCTATGCAATGCTGAGCTATGCTACGCTATGCTCTGCTATGCTTGGCCATGCTATGCTGTGCTAATGCTGCGCTGCGCTATGATGCGCTGCGCTAAGCTAAGCTACGGTAAGCTAAGCTATGCTAAGCTAAGCTAAGCTAGGCTAAGCTAAGCTAAGCTAGGCTAGGCTAAGCTAAGCTAAACCAAGCTAAGCTAAGCTAAGCTAAGCTAAGCTAAGCTAAGATGATATAAGCTAAGCTAAGCTAAGCTAAGCTAAGCTAAGCTGGGTGAACCCAGGGGGCGCAACTGGGGGAACCGCGGGGCGGATGCCGGGGGAACCGCCCGGGGCGAGTTACATTGCCCGCCCGTTTACGATGGAGAGTAAGAACCCTTCTAGGCAGAGCCTAGGTAGGGAAAACACACGGTGGCCTCGGGAGAGCGATGTCACTGAAGGGGTTCGCGGCCCCGGGAGCGCGCGCGCCACGCTATTTTGTGGTGGATCCGTGCCCTCGGGACCAAGGTTCAGTCGGGCCTGTCCCTCTACAGGGGGAATATTCAAAAATAGTAAAAAAATAGTCGTGGGACGATTTTTTGACAATTTTTGGCATATTTTTGGTGTGTTTTTCCCGGAAAGGGCTTAAGCCCAGGGTTCTCTTTTAGTTTGTAAACAAGTCCCCCGGTGCCTGCTTGAAGGAGGCCGGCGAATTTTTTCCCTGATAAATAACGAGGTCGAAGGAGGCCGGCGAATTTTTCCCTGATAAATAACGAGCCCGAGAATTAAAATTTGAGGATGTCTCGAGCGAAACGCTTGTTTTTGAGGCCGGCGAATTAAAATTTGAGGATGTCTCGAGCGAAACGCTTGTTTTTGAAATCCCGACCTCACCACACCCCAGCACGACCACAGCACGACCACACCCCAGCACGACCACACCCCAGCACGACCCCACCCCAGCACGACCACGCCCCAGCACGACCACACCCCAGCACGACCACACCCAGCACGACCACACCCCAGCACGACCACCCCCCAGCACGACCACACCCCACGACCACGACGACACACCCCAGCACGACCACACCCCAGCACGACCACACCCTAGCAAGACCACACCCCAGCACGACCACACCCCAGCACGACCTCACCACAGCACGACCACACCCCAGCACGACCACGCCCCAGCACGACCACGCCCCAGCACGACCACGCCCCAGCACAACCACCCCCCAGCACGACCACCCCCCCAGCACGACCACACCCCAGCACGACCACCCCCCAGCACGACCACACCCCAGCACGACCACTCCCCAGCACGACCACACCGCCTTGGTTGAGTGGTTGCCTGTCGTCGTGGAATGTTTCGTGGGGTGTCTCGTGGAATGTTTCGCGGGGTGTCTCCTGGAATGTTTCGTGAGGTGTCTCGCGGAATGTTTCGTGAGGTGTCTCGTGGGATGTTTCGTGAGGTGTCTCGTGGGATGTTTCGTGAGGTGTTGCCCCGTTGGGTCTCGTGAAAACGTGCCCATGCTCCACATGTCTATATCCCTTTCCGGGTTCGTGGGTCCATCATGTTTGGGTACTTTTGATTTTTCGTCCAAAATCCGCCTGCAGGGGGACAGGCCCGACCTGAGACCAGGGCCGCCTCTTCGGGAGGTGACGGGGGGCCAAGAAGCGCTCTCCGAGCACATGTCCCGACACAGACATGGCAGTTTTCCGGCTCTGGAGAGGGAGAGGGGTGTGGGGGGTGTGGGGGGTGGGGTTTTTGTTGAGCAGCCGCTGTGGGGTGGGTTCGTTGCCTCGGATGCGCGAGCGCGTCGTAATTCACAAGGGAGTGTTGCCTGGGGAGCGCGAACCTTTCGTAAGTTACAGTGGATGGTGGTCTCGGGAGCGCGAGTGTGACGTCCTGTTGCGAGGGTCGTGATTTGCGAGAGTTTGTGGCTTCGGGAACGACGTGTCGTAGCAATTCAAGCTGGGTTGTGGCCTCCAGGGCCTCCAGGGCGCGAGTATCTAGTATTCTTATTTGCCCATTGGGTGCTCCAAGAATTTCTGAGGATATGCTTCCGACGAGGTGAGGGAGCTGTTTTCGGGCTGGGGTCCTCGTGCGGACTCCAATCATCGCATCAGTGGGACTAGAAGCTCTGTAGCTAAAACAGTGACACTGGGAACTGGAGCTGTGGCAGGGTGCAGCAAAGCCCAGTCCACGCAACCTGTTTGTCCCCAGGGGGGCCGGAGGATTCGCTGCCCAAATCCTCAGTCCGAACGTGCAGACCGACGCAGTCGTGCAGACGATCAAAGACAACAGGTACCGAATCATCCAGATGATTACGTACGAGACCACCTGGCGTGCGATGATGTGTTCTGCCAACTACTTGGGTGCATCGGGCTTGGTGTGGATGGTCTACGGCTTCTACAACAGGGGCTTCTACAGCACCCTCGACGCCCCAGACCTGTCGCAGTGGAGCTGCGATGCGGCCATGCTGCGCCAGATGTCCAACAACGCGATCTTCGCCACGAGCTTCATGTGGGCCACGGACAGGGAGCACGTGATCGACTGCGACATGGACGGAGCCATGACGACCACGTCGTTCATGGAAGAGTACTACGAGAGGGCGGAGGAGCTCAGCACCGGCCAGACAGTGGCGCGGGGCGGGAGGAATTACACGACGAACGCCCCGAGGGAGGCAGGGGCGCAGGCCGCGGATGGCGCCTGCCTGTACGCCCTGGCCCTCTCCAAGCTCATGGGCTTCGAGCCTGCCAACCTCGCGGCGACTCTCGACTACGCGAGCAAGCGCACGTACAACCTCTCGCAGTTCCAGGATCGGGGCTGGACAGAACCCCCAACAGTGACACGTCGATTAGTGAATTGTCCGTTTTCGGTTCTCGAGAGGGCGCCGTGGCCGTGATTTTCCAGGCTTGCGCCCGCCAGGTTTGGGCCGGAGGTCGTTTTCACTAAACCACGTTTTACTAAAGGGGGGTCTGCCCATCACCGACAGGCGCGGAGCGCGGAGGCCTACGAGGACATGAACCAGGTCCTGCAGAGCGCCAGGTTCTACGGGGTGAGCAACAGCCCCTTCGAGTTTCAGTGTGACAATCTGCCCGAGGATCGCATCTGCGACGACACGTGCCGCAATTCGAAGGGCTGCACCGGCGATGCGAAGGGAGAGACCATCGTCTTCCAGTTCGACTCCAGTGGCACCGAGGATCAGTACCGTTTAACCGACCCCCACCCCCATCCTCATCCCCTTCGAGACCCCCACCAGATTACAGTGGGGGCGCGCATCAAGAAACCATATGCTTTTCGTCAGGGTACCCTGGGTTTGGGTTTCTTCGCTCCTCGCGCTGCGCTGTGACTTCCCGCAGCCGTTGAAGGAGCTGCTGCGTTCAGGGTGCTCCAGGTTTCCCTTCAGGTGCACCTCGCGCGCGGGTTCTCAGGGTTGGGTTTCTTCTTGCGAGGGTTTCTTGCGGCCGCGCCCACACTGTACCACCCCAGCTGGGGATACACCCCTCGAAACCCGAAGGGAACGGCCTATATATTCCCATCTCAGGGGGTAAATCGGCCAGTGGGGCCCAGCCCACGCCGCTGGGGATGGGGGTCGGATAAACGATGCTCAGAGGAATATCCAACAATCGCGCACGGTCTGGTGGAAAGTTACACGTGGGAAAAGGCTCTCCGGTTCGACTACGGGGGCTACTGGGGCGGCAGCAGCAGCAGCATGCCAGCGAACATTCCTTACTACGGCGAGGATTGCCTTGAGGGGTACCATAAGGTCGACGGCACCGACTTCTGCGTCCCTGACGACATGCTCCCTGACTGTCAGGCAAACGATATGGTGCTAGCGGCTAGTGGCTTCTGCGAAGAATGCCCGGCCGGGACGATGTACGGCTTCGTTGGCGAGGGCGCATTTGCGCAGGCCGTTTGTTCGGCTTGTCCCGACGGGGAGTTCCAGAGCGAGGCGGGCCAGACGTCTTGCACCAAGTGCTCCAAGGGCTACGTCCCGAACGGTGTGCGCACATCTTGCGCCGCCTGCCCAGAGGGCACCTATGCGGACAGCGTCGGCATGTCCGCGTGCGTTCCGTGCGCAGTGGGCCACTACGCGGCCTCCAATGCGACGATCCGTGCGCCTGCGGCCAGCTCCGCCACGGCGTCAGCGCAGGACTCCGCATGGCGACCCCTCGGGAGCCGCCCAGCAGCAGGCGAAAGGCGCAGTTGCCGTCCCTCGGCCTCAGTTGGCCGCCACGTGTGCAGCTCTCCTCCGCAGGTTCGAGAAGACAGTTCCGTGTGGTCGTTGTCTTCATCAGGGCCCAGAGGGCGGTGGCGTGTGACGACGCTCCTGCCCAGATCCAAGTGGGCGGCATCATCTCTTCCTAGCTCGTTTCGCCATCGGAGAGAAGGGCGTGCCGTGTAGGAGGGTGAGGCGCGGGAGTGGGGCATGCTTTGAGGTGACTTTTGGAGGCGTCTTGGGGCTCTCTTGAAGCATCTAGAGAGCCTCAAGAGGGTTCTCTTAGGGCTTCCCGTCTCAGGGGCCTCTTGGAGGAGGAGGAGGAGGAGGAGGAGGAGGAGGAGGAGGAGGAGGAGGAGGGGGAGGGCTTCCCGTCTCGGGGGCCTCCTGGCCATCTCGGAGCGTGTGGGCACCCTCAAGGGAGCCGCCCGGGGCTGCGTCGGCGGCCTCTCTCAGGCCGTCGGGCCGCTCTCGAAGCCCCCTTCGGGGCGCCACGAATCCCTGGTGGAGTTTTCGTGGGCTCGTGGGCCATCTTGGATTTTTTTCGGGCCACTGTCGGGTCGGGCGAAAGGGGGGGATTGGGAAAGGGGGGGGTACGAAATTTGCTGCATGCAGCTGGTTTCGGCCTCACCGAGGGGCCCATTCCGCGATACATAGCCGCCTCCGGCGCCGGGAGGCGCCGGGAAAATCAGCTACGTGAGCTGATTCTCAACCCCCCCCTTTGCTATCCCCCCCTTTCGCCCGACCCGACACTGGGGCCATCTTGGGGCCTGTTGAGCACTCCCTAGTCCTGGGCCGAGCACCGTTTTTTTCCGAAGCAGCGTGCATCGACAAATCGGTGATGCCTCGCGCATCCCCGCCAGCCCGCCCAGAAACAATGCGCAGGCGAGTTGCTTTGATCGGGGACGCGTGTGAGCATACAGTAGAACGAAGAGGAAGGGCAGCGTTCAAGCGGGAGCTCAGAATCAACCTGTGCATTCTCGGGGGGGAGGAGAAGGATTATGACGAGGGGGGAAGAGGAGGGAGGAGAAAGAGGCAGATGCTGATAAGCGTGACAAGGACGACGCATGTGGGAAGGGCGAGCAGAAGGAAGAGGAATCAGACTGAACTCGGTTCCATTCATGTCTGGTGAGCCTTGGGTGGCACGACCAGGAGGAGGGACAGGTGCTGACCATGAAGGCCTTCGCGGATCCTTCGTTCGAGGAGCCTCTTGGAGCAGTAGGAGCTCGTGCGGGGATCCGTTTCGAGTCTTCGGGGGCTTCTTGGGGGCCTCTTGGGACCCCCTTGTATGTAACCATCTTGGGGGGTATCCGGAAACATCGGGGAGGTGGAGGCCAACTTCGCCCCGTTGGAGCCCGACCAGGCGCGCCGTGTGGCGCTCGTGGGGGCCCCTGGGCCGTCCGAGGGCCCTTCTGGACCCCTCTTGGGCGCTCTTGGAGCCACCGCGATGGAGGAGGAGGAGGAGGAGGAGGAGGGGGAGGGGGAGGGGGAGGAGGAGGAGGAGGAGGAGGAGGAGGAGTCTCGGACCTGCAAAGGCAGCACGGCAAGCCACACTGGAGCACATATGTCAGAAGGATGTTGGCCTCTCGCGGGGCGTGCCTGTGAGGCTCCAGGGCTACCTGGGCAGCACTGGGGCCATTCGGAGACATGCTGGGGTTGGATGCCATCTTGAGCCGTATTGGACAAGCTTGGATGCCACTGTAAGGCATCTCGGCCCATCTTGGAGCCAGATTGACCCAGCAGCTTCCCAAGGCTACCCCCGATGTACCAACCTCGTCCAAACACCTTAGGTTGTTCAACGAGTCTGTGTTGGGAAACAACTGTATGTAACTATGCGCCCCCCCCCTGGAAGCTCGATCCATCGCCTCTTGGGGCCCCCTCGGAGCGTCCTCGGGGCGCTCTTAGGGGGCATTTTGGTCCATCATGTGAACTCGTATGAGCCCCTCGTAGGGCTCTTCTTCGGCGATCTTGGAAGTACCCTGAAGCCTCGGAAGCTTATGGGAAGCACCAAGTCAATTCATTCAACAACATTGACAGCCATAGGTGTTGACTTATCCTTGCCCTTCGAAGACATCATTGGGAGGTTCCGTGGCCACGTGGAGCCGTCTTGGGACGGTGCTGTGGCCTATTGGAGGCATGTTGGAGACCATGGGGAGCAATCTTGCGTCGTCTTGTTCCATCTTGGAGGCCATTGTGGTCTAGCTGAGACCATCCTGGATCCATCTTGGGCCAAAGGACCCTCTGACACCTCGAGGGAGGCCGCCCAGGTCCAGCGGAGGGTTACAATGCGGGCGGGTATGGGGATAGATAGGATTAATCTCCCCCCCAATGGGGAAGAAGAGAGTTGGAAAACACAATTCTCTAACTTACCTATGCCGAGCGGGCTGGTGGGATTACGTGTTGCTTCGTGATTGTGGCCGTACGGGCCTCTCTTCGGACCTCCCAGGGCTTCTCCTGCGGCCTCTTTACGTGGTCTTGGAGGCTCCTTGAGCATCTTGGTGGCCTGCCTGTGCCGTCTTGGAAGCCTTCTCGGGCACTGTGGAAGCGTGTGTGTGTGTGTGTGCGCGTGTGTGTGTGTGCGTGTGTGTGTGAGAGAGAAGATTACCGCAGCACCCCCCAGGGCGGGGAGCGTGCCACCCCTGTTTCAGGTGTCTTCTGCCACGACCCCCTCGGTGCCAACGGAGCCCTGGCCGCCACAACCAAGAAGACACAGCGAGCAGGCGGTGAACCCAGTGCGGCCGGACTGTTCTCGGCGCCGTGGGGGCATCAGGCACCTCGGCCGACACGACGCCGCCTTCCTTCGCAGCTTCCTCCACCTCCTGGCCTCGTCGCCGCCCTGAGCCCGCCTCCTGAAGGCTGCAGGGCGGCCCGCGGTGCGCCGGGCCGCTCCTGGTACGGAATGCGCCCTGGGCTGCGGACGGGGCTCCAGCCCTCTCCGTCGGTGCACCCACGCGGTGCCCCGCCCCCCGTCTTCTGCAGCGGCAGCCCCCGGCCGCACACCGGTGCCCCCCCCTGTGTGGAGGCGGCGCAGGTACATCGGGAGCGGAAAAGAGGGGGGTGATGACTAGGGGGGGGTGGATATCATGGCGCGGGCCATGATTTTTCCTCAGATTTCATGGCGCCTCTTCTTATTTCATTACGTCCCTGGCCCCCCCGCTGGGCCGCGCACATGCCGCCGGTCATGATTTGCACCCCCCCCTCTTGGACACCCCCCTCTTGGCCGCTCCCGAGTACAGTCGGGGCCCTGAAGAAGGAACCCTTTTGGTTGGGGAGGGGGCCCGTGTTCCTTAATCTTTCACTGTTTCACAGTTTGCCCCACGTTTTCCTGGGGTTTTCGATGGGAGATCGAAGTTCAACTTCTGGAGAAAAGGGGCCTCGTTCCTTGTTCAGGGTTCCTTGGGTCAACGCCCCGACTGTGAGGGGACGACCGTGGGCTGGCATGCTGTCCCCCGCCCAGGCCTGCCAGCCCCCCGCTCGCTTGCTTCTCAGGCCAGCGCGCGGCCCCCTGGGCAGCTCTTCGCCAGTGGGCCGTCTCGCTCGCTGCTCCCCCCGCGGGCCCTCGCTCTGGGCACCCTGGCCGCCCCCCTTCCGCGCTCTCGCGCAGGTCCGCAGATCTCTCGCCGGTCACCAGCCCTCGGCGTCTCGTGCCCTGGCCGCCCCCCCTTCCGCGCGTTGCGCAGGTCCACAGAGCTCTCGCCGGTCACCAGGTCTCGGCGGTTCGTACCCTGGCCGCTGCCCCTTCCGCGCCTCGCAGGGCAGCAGACCTCTCGCAGGTCACCAGATCTCGGCGTCCTCTTACCCCAGTCGCTGGTCCTCCGCCAGCGCCGCTCTGCGCCCCCATTTTGGCGTGCTCCCATCAGCTTTCAGGCACGTGGCATGCCAATTTCTCCGCG